ATTACTTAGTAAATATTTAATTAATATATAATATATATATATGTATATTAAATATATTTATTTAGTATACAAATAAAAGTTAATTAAATATATTTAATATTTATTTAGTGAATATTTAATTAGATGAAATATATTTATTAATTATTTATTTAATATATATTAATTTAATATCAATTGACTTTAATATATTTATTTAGTTATTTATATATTTATTAGGGGGTGTCTATATGTACACCCCCTTGTGTGTAAAAAAGGGGTGTACATATAGCACTTTTCTTTGTGTAATTTATTAAAAGGGGGTGTACATATAGCATTGCCCATTTATTATTTTATTTACATATTAAACGTATTATATAATTTATTTAAAATCTCTCTTATACTTATAAGCAAAAATGAGAGGGTGTTTGCGGCTGGCACGTGGCACATTTTTTCCATTGCAAGGTTCATCCATATAGCGCCGCGTGGCATCTGTTTACGGCAAGGACAATTTTTCCCTATTGTTCTCTTGTTTTTTTCACGCCTCAGAAGCCAATTTAATTTTTGTTCTATTAAGTTGAGCAAAACGACATCGTATTATGCAGTTGTTAAGTTTTGAGTTTACTTCATGTCATTGACCCTACATTAGATGGATTTTGGAGGTTAGAATGGTAAATGAAATGCCTTATATCAAATCAAATCAAATTTATTATTATGGGTTGATCGTCCGTACTATGTATGGGTCTATGGCGATGGGACCTTTCCTTCTCCGCAAAGTTTCCGCCTGACAACTTTTTTTTCTTCACAAATTCACTCCACCAATCCTCAAACTCTTTTTCTCTCCGGAAGCATCACTTTAAACCCCAACCTAACTCTACCGCCACCACGAGTACGGACGGTGCTTCCCCAATCCAGATATGTGAAGCCGACGGTCAAGGACGAAGAGGAAGGTGATTTAATGGAAACTCAAGCAGCGGAACCCGAAGTAGTTCGACAACTTGACATTTATTAGTTGCTCTTCTTTTGACTCCTAAATTCATTTGAATTTTAATGTAGCGTCTCGTTTCCTAATTTTGATGACAAAGCATTACAATTTTTTTTCTACCTCAGTTGTAGGTGTTGCAGTATCCACTGAGACCGATATGGAGGCGATATGAATTGGATGAAAAATGCGAAAAGATATGCCCAACTATCTATACTTTAAATATTTTGATAACATTGATGTAATTATGTTATCTTACGATAAAGAATCTGCTTTCAAGCTAAGTGTCTATAATTTTGAATTTGTATGTGTGTGTTTGATGTTTGCGAAGGTGGGTTTGTCGGTGAGAAGGCGATACAGTCTA